ACAATAATTTTGGACAGTAGCAAAATGTACAAATAACCAAGCAAAAGTTATCAATATAACTTGAGCAGTGGAAAGTTCTGAGAAATCAGGTTAAATTCCATCAGTTATGATAAAGAGACAGAAGAAGAAAGAGAAGGGGAGCGGAGAAAGAAAAAAGAGAGGAAGAGAGAAGCCAGAATTTTTGTTAGCCAAGACTAAGCTGGTAATTAATGCAAAAAACTGCTAACTCACTTCCATTGGTCTCTCTGGGTAACTAAATAACACACACCTAAATTTGAAGGACCTCAGTATCTTTCCCTTTTAGCAAAACTTTTTTTTTTTTTAGCCAAGAGTCTCATTATGTGGCCCTGGGTAGAGTGCCATAGCATCACAGCTCACAGCAACCTCTAACTCTTGGAGTTAAGCGATTCTCTTGCCTTAGCCTCTCTAGTAACTGGGACTACAGATGCCCGCCACAACGCCCAGCTATTTTTTGGTTGTAGTTGTCATTGGTGTTTGGCAGGCCAGGACTGGATTCCAACCCACCAGCTCTAGTGTAAGTGGCTGGCACCCTAGCCGCTGAGCTACAGGCGCCGAGCCTTTTTAGCAGAACTTTAAGCAAACCAGGTTCAGATAACTACCCATAATAATTTTCAGCCACTAAATATAAAATTACTAATTAATAAATGATACAGATTTTTCAAATCAATTTTTTTAAGCCCCTCCTAATATGTGCCGGTTTCAGGGTACTGTTTGTATTCTCCAAGACTTGGAGACTTTTTGCTCAATTAACATGGAATGCCATCAAAAAAGATGAAAAACAAAACCAACCAACATTGAGTTCAGGCTAGTTCTGAAACTAAGAACACATTGTTATTCTTCTCTCAGATGCAAACACAGCTTCTGAGATGATAGGAGTACCTTATACTCCATTATTTTCCTCCCTGATTTTACCCAAGTTCAGTTAGTCCACCATATCTCTGGCAAATTACATGGGGTCTGCAGTGCTGGCTGGAAAACAGGAAGAGTTCTCTGTATCCCCAGTCCCTTACATCAGTGATTTCAACCCTGGCCATGCTGAGAAACCAACTAATCTGCTTTTTTAGGAAGGCCTCTCCAGCTTAGCCAGCCTGGCCTCACGCCAGAAACACACAACAGCTCCCTCATCTTCACTCCAAGTCTGGGCCACCCTCCAGTTCATCCTCTGTCCCTGTCTTTCAGTTGTGGTGCCATTTCAGCCTCTTTATTTCAATAAGCAGTTAAGGGCCCCCTTTTTGCCTCAATAACCTGCCCTAGTTTCCTGGCCCCCTCAGGTGCCTGCTTTGTCCCTCACCCAATTTTCATGGCTTAGTATGGTCCTTTGTTTTTGTCTCCCTCCAAACTAAGGCCTGGCATGGCCATGTGGACTATGTTGAGAGTAAGAATACCAAGCAAGTTATCTTACCCCTTTGTGTCTTGGTTTCCTCATCTGTAAAACAGGGATAATATTAAAATACACACACAGACACATATACACTTCATAGGGTTGGCGTGAGGACTGAGAAAGTATTTAAAACATGGCCTGGATGGGAAGGGCTCCCACTATTACTATTTCTCCCCCTCCCCAACCCCAGGTCAAGTGGTAGCTCCAGCTCCATTCTGCTTCCTTTGAGCTGTCCATGGATGTATATGTGTATATCATTATATTATTGGTAAACAGTGAAAAGGGAATTTGGTTGAGACTTTAATTTGAAAAAATTAAAAGACATACAAATAAGTTTATTTTATCTTACACTGAAGAAAAGTTAAGTTATGATTGTGCATATCTACTAAGTTCTCATAACAAAGAATGAATGAAACACTAGCAAAATTATATAATACATCCTTCCCACTGCCTTTGATTTTATAGCATCACTCCAAAGACAATTACTTTACAAAATATCCCAGGGCTCTATTAGCTTTGTCAGGAGCCTCTCTTAATCCTCTGACTTCAAATTTTCCCTCTGACTTCACAAGAGGAAGCCCCCATTGTGTTGCCCTCATTACTGATTTTCTCTTCTTCAACTGTAAACTTCTCTAATTCTGTCATATCTGTATGTGTGGACAGATGTGCAAGTTGTTCTACATTAATTTCAAAGCCAACATGAAATGCTGGAACTCATAAAATGTGATATCTCACTTTATATTTGTATTTTATTAACACTGACAAGGCTGGAAAGGGATGAACTCCAACATCAACTTGAACATCAAAGGATATCTGAATAAAGGTTAATTTTCTGTCAAACAAGAATTAAATATTTTTATTTAAATATAAAGTCAATCCACTATTAAATATTTTTGTGTTGAGATGTCTTTCTTCTCAAAGCAAACCTTTTAAGGAATATAAAACCTGATAAAAAGGACTTCCCCCAACCACATGCTACCAAATGGTAAATTACTTAGGTAACTTATTTGTCTATAAAAGAACAAACATGAAGTATTTTCTAAGAGCATTAACTGACAAGTAAAATTATATCTTGGTCTAATGTCATAAATAATTGAAAATCTTAGATTACTTTGGCCCTCCAATCTTTTTTTTTTTT